CAATTCTATAACAACTATAAAAATATGGTTATCCACTGCATATTCAATATCAAAATGTGAGAAAGAAAAGAAATAACAAAGTCAAAGCTGGTACCTACACATTTCTTCTAACTGGTTACATCTGGATACCTTTGAAACATCAAAAATAGCAATCAGCTAATCAGAACAAAATAAACTTTTAATATAAAAAAAACAACATTGCTACTTTCTCCTTTTTATCCCCTTCTTCCTTTACAATGTGCATCACCTAAGCCCTATTCTTATTTTGTTTAGGTAATATCGTTTTATTTAAGAATTTAAATTAGTATCATCTCTTTTATTTACAGGGATAATCTGCAACAATATCAATGCTATCATCCATTCACATGATATCTATCATGTTCAATCACATAATTTTAGTATAGATTCATCTAGCAGAAAATCCTATTACACAAACTAAGCAAAGTATGGCATAAAATATACAGGAATCTGAATGCAAAGGATAAAAAGAAAGAAAAGCTGCAAAAATGATGAAGAGGAGACCACCACTTACCCTCAATAGAATTAGACAGATGGCCTTTACATTGTAGAATTATCTTTCAGATTTCTTTCTTACATTTCCCAATCAATAAAACAAACCAAAATCACGACATACCTGACCAGTGAGCTTATCCGTAACTTCTCGATATAAGTGCATGTCCAAGTAATAGCCAGACTCATTGGACAAAGTCAGCCGAATTGGAATAGTCTTGCTCTGAGGTGTTTGACGAATGGTCATCTTGATCTCTGCTTGAAGCACACGCAGAGTCCACAGGCGGCGTCCATAGCGATTTACTATGGATCTTATGGAGTCTTCAATCTAAGCAGAAAATAGACCACATGTTTAAAACAAATCATTCCTCTTAGTTATTCCTCTATTTTCCTTTACACTTTTTGTAAATAACAAAATAATTATGTAATATACATAAATAAGCAAAGAACAAACAAAATATACAACCAAGTAGTAACACCTCTTGAATGAAGTCTCTTGCCTCTTCCTTTAATCATACCTTGCTCCAAACCGGTCTTTCCTTCCATCTTTATTTAATTCCCTTCCCTTCCTTCTCCTCTATCCTCATCTCTTTTTCCCGCCTTCCATCCAGGGCCTACCTGTTTCCTTTCCTTTCTCCCACTGTCTCAGCTCACTCTTTCACTTCCTTCATTTCCCACTCCAACCCTCACCTTTGAAGGGTTCATGATGACTGTTGGCACAAAGTTGAGGAACACATGATTGCAGTCAGTCCTCTTTGCCAGTTGGTGCGAGAATGCCACCTCCAGCTCATCCATGGCCTCAAGAAGCAGCTTCTCCCCCTCTTTCTCCAAGTATTCAAAGGATGCCTCCTTAGTGATCAAGTCTGAGTGGCGGATGATTGAGCGGATGAAGAAGCGGAAATCAGTAACCTCTTGCCCATCTGCCACCTGTCAAGGAGGGTGAAGAGAAAAATACTTAATGGACAACAATCTCTTTTTGAAATGTCAAATGAAAATCACAGAGCCTGGACTACGGTATTAGTGTCACACAGGTAGGCATCTGTATACACTTCTGAACATCCTGTAAATTAAATTAAGACATAAATCCTACTCCTATTTCATCATTACCAATGAGATCATGTGAGCCTTATAGTTGACTTCTTGATGACTAAGCACTTTTGAAGCCATCTATGTATGAAAAAAAAAATAGCAGAACAACACTACAGAGGACAGTAAATGTATTCAAAACTCACCTTCGCTTTGGCCAGATACAAGTGCATTTTGCGGTTTGATGTAGGAAGGGCTTCCAGATCGTACGTGCGGAGGCGGTTGATCTCCAGCTGGAAGGCCAGAGCAGGTTCCAAGTGGCGGTAGATCCGGTCTTCTTGGAATTCATCTCTCGACCTGATGGTTGCAAAGTCTTGTGAGCATTCTTCCATTAAGGGAGGAACAAAAACTAAGAAAAGAGTCTTAGAACTACAGAGAGTTATACTTGACTTTCTTATCTACTTGTGCTGAAAGTACTTGGGCTTTTTCATTTCAGTTTGAAATAAAAGTTTAAAGAAAAAAGGCAGAGGCAACAATGGTGATTACTGATGCCTGGATAGTTACTACACTAGTTTTCAATTACAAAGGAAAATCATACTATATAGCATTAATAACAGCTACCACCATTAAGATGTTACTTGAGAAAAATGATATCATATTAATGGAGGTACTTAACCATTACCTAAATTATTACTTGATTATTACTTCTTCAGCAACATAAGATAACAGTCAGTCTTTACTTCTAAAATATTACCATATCAATAGTAATGAAAATTAGTCTTTAGACAGTGCAATGGATTAGTGGTAAGTGTTGGGAGAACTCATTTCCCCAGTGCAAACACACACATGCCCAACATCTTGCAACAGATTTTAATAATCCAGAATACATAAGTGAATGGTAATAGCTTGCTTGACCCTAAAACATAATGTCAATTCACAATAATATTACATTATTAACAATTTAACCCAGTGCAATACATAGACACACATGTAAACCCCCAAAATACTCTTGAGAATGTTACCATACTGGACAATTGTACCAGCCTAACACAGACCAATTTGAACACTGGATAAATGAAACACTTATCACATAACATTCCCCACCAACCTTATTGTACAGCCAGTGCCAAGTTTTCAATAATCTTCTTCACAAACCAACAACTTCTATTTAATCAAACTCCTGAGGCTGAACAGTGCAATGCTCATTTTCTTCAGAAACAACCCAATCAATTCCTACCTTACTTGGAAAGGTCTTCACAGACTAATAATATGAAAATACAATGCACTACAACTGCTGATATCTACATGAAATTTACAAATACTGATATATGTAGCAGATTCAAATTCTATACATAGGATCATCTGGAGCACTGATTTACAATCAATAAGCATCCACCTACTGCCAAATTAAATGACAAACAAAATATCAATGGCTTCCTGTAATTTTACATTAGGCAAGCAGATAGAGTTTTGTGTGTATGTGTGTGTGTGGGGGAGGGGAGGGGAGGGGAGGGGAGGGGAGAGGGGGGGGAGGGGGGGAGAGAGAGGGGGGGAGAGAGAGGGAGAGAGAGGGAGAGAGAGGGGGGGAAGAAGAGAGAGAGAGAGAGAGAGAGAGAGAGAGAGAGAGAGAGAGAGAGAGAGAGAGAGAGAGAGAGAGAGAGAGAGAGAGAGAGAGAGAGAGAGAGAGAGAGAGAGAAAGAGAGAGAGAGAGAAAGAGAGAGAGAGAAAGAGAGAGAGAGAAAGAGAGAGAGAAAGAGAGAGAGAGAAGAGAGAGAGAGAGAGAGAGAGAGAGAGAGAGAGAGAGAGAGAGAGAGAGAGAGAGAGAGAGAGAGAGAGAGAGAGAGAGAGAGAGAGAGAGAGAGAGAGAGACATCAAAACAAACAGACAGAGAGAGTCAGAGACATGAAGAATATAAACTTTTAATGCTATCTGCTCTATATCCTAGTCTCAAATGTTTTATATATAAAATATAACTATAAACTATTTTAAACAAATCCATAAAATGGTCTCTTATGCTCTTAATTTTCTTTTAAGCTTGTAAGGGGTCCCCCCATTTATGTACTGTACAAATTCACTATATGATTTACAAGATAACTTTTCATTTCTGAAAATCAACCAATTTGTTGCAAATAGCAAACTTAAAAGTGTAAATTTCCAATCCATGCACAGCTTCCACATCTGCTTAAAATACACCTCACATCCATAAAACCCATGGTCACATACATGCCACATTTTGTATTAAATGTCCCATGTGTTATCACAAAGTACAATATATTAATATAGGTATCCCTTACAGTCATCGTCAAATTATAAACATTCAGGTAAAGATCCAATTTGTGCATATTTTCAAGTCAATAATATGTTAGATAAAGAATCTACCATATTACAGCAAGCAACTGCCCCACTGGTTATATTACAACATGAAGCTCTAGCAGTTTTAGAAGGATTATATTAGTACATTAGGATCTGGCAACTGCCTTGCCATAACTTAGTAGGCAGCCATCATACCTTGGGTCAAGGGGATTGGCAATGTGTTTCAACAGATGTCTAGGTCTGTGGTAAAAGACAAAAATATATATGACGTTATCATTTTCTCATCCTTCTCCAGTTGGGTGAAAGGGATCTGGTAAGTAGATTAGCCAAAACAATATATTTACATCATTAGTTTAAAATATCATGTAAAGGCTATAAAGTCACTCTATTGTGTAGGAGAACAAATTCATGCTCTACAGGCTGCGCCAACAGCATCCTAAGATGTCAGTAGCATGACCATTCACAACACTCTTCAAGGGCTGTTATTTCATCAACAAACCTGCTACAGGAAGATACTCTCTTGAACTTCCTGTCTTTAGAAACCAAGGCTTTGTGGAAGAAATCCTATCGCAGTAAAGTAGCTTTATGTAAAGATTTTCTAAAATAAGATTTTAATTCTTTATAAATAAAGTACCAGTATGCCAATAAAAGTATCATCTAAACATACTACAGATTCCTTCCATGTGTATATAAATGATTTCTCAACAATCTGAATAAGATTAAATAATGAAACTTAGTTAATCTTAAGCTGAGAGGTATGTAAAGAGTAGCAATATAATCCAAAGTGGTTAGAAGAAAACCTGTTAAATGTTTGCTTCCTAAATGCATTTACACAATATATCTAGATTTGAGTTTCTGCATCATAAGATGGTGATTTTAATACTTAAGTTGTCCAATAAACAATTCTGGTGAGAAATAATTACAATACAAAATGTAAGTAAGGAACATATCAAATCAAGAATATAAAAAAAAGGAAAGGAAAATACAACAGTTATTCACTCAAAAGGCAACAAATTAAAAATCTAATAATCACACATCTTTCATTGCAAAACGTGAGCATGTCTTGTAAGTACCTTACAATTAATTAATCATAAGCAAAACAATCTACACCTTCTGAAAAATAAGAAGTTTAATAATAAAAAAAATTATACATTAGATGAGATATACAAAAGAATCTGTTAATAAGTCTTTAACATACTCAGTCACAGCACTGTTTACAAATTCATGCTTAGTCATACATGCAAACCTAACCACATACACACAATGCATACTTCTACATACACATCCCTGTTTATAATCATTCATCCATATACCAAACTAATAGTGAAAAATACAAAGAGCCTCTCATACAAAGAGATAAAAATCATTCATGTACGGCATTGGTATTTGTAAGCAGTCAGTGCTTTTGTCTGAGTGTTTCTATTAATGCAAATTTATGAACATGCATCTCTAGGCATTTATGGCTATTCAGCTGTTTGTGATAAGCTTTTATAACTCTTTGTTGACTGTGTCTGCTCAAGTGATTGTGCACCTGTAAACACGTTTGTCGGTGTATGTCTTTATCTGCCAATTAATGCAATATCATATCTATGTCTGTACCTCTACTCTTGTACCTTGATTCATGTAAGTCAGTCAACCATTTAAAATTCAAGAACCACTCATACACCTCTGACTTCTAACCTGTAGGTGAAATATCTTGGGAATTGCTGCTTGTAGAAGATAACAAAGGTGATTCGTCGGATGCCTGCCTCATGGAATTCCTTCTTCTTGCTTGCACAGAAGATGGCAAATTGTTCACTTAGCTCTGAATCATCCTTTTCCTCCTCCATCCGAATGCCAATGTTCATGATGTGGATTGGGTCTTTGGCTTCCTGTCATGTTTAATTCCTTTATTACATTTTGACCAATCTCAACATCAGATAGTAAAACATGAAGATAGCATATGAAAAGAACAACTAAACATATTTCTTTTTTACCTTGTGTTCACCAATAAAGTCACTGAAAGAAGATCCCAATTTTATGGAACTGCTAAGGTGATCCCTGGGACTTAATTCTCCCTCCAGCACACCATGTTCTGCTGGCTGGAAGAAGTCCATCAGGTCACTGAAATAGATCTCAAACTCCCCAAAGGTCGTGAAGGTGGCCATGATGCCCATGCGCTGGCAGTTCTCAAGATTGGTTGGAGGATCGATGGGGGTGTGGTGTGGGTCCGTGTACTCTAAGGTGCTCCACACTTTGTTGTGAGGAATTCTGAAATTGAGATTAGTTTCAGCACAAGCAAATTTGAAATTAACATATCTTCTACAACAGAAGAAATTATTTTTCATTATGTAAATAATACACTATAATGCTGAAACTGTGAATCACTTTTCCACAGAAAAAAGCCAATTCAAGGAAAAAAAACATACCTGTTTGGATGGGAAGATGGCAAAAGGAACTGGAAGAACACTACACAAACTCCACCATAAAGTTCCTTGTGCTGCAGGCAAGTCAGTTCGTAGCTGATGTACGCACGTCGAACATAAACCTTTTGGAAAAGATTGTAGTTTAATTCAACACATAAAAATAAGAAAAAAAATCACATATCCTCTAAAACAGGGAAAATGCAGTGAATATAAAATACAGAATAAGTTAATATAGTCAACAATAAAGAAAAAGAAAAATATTTACAACTCTTACCTCCAAGCCAGCCATACGCACAGCTGTGTTTGTGTGGTAGAAGAAAGCATGCAAGACATCAAATATTGAAGTCTCAGACAAAATGAGTTTTTGGAGATTTTCTGGATGGAAGGAATGGCCATACATATCTATAGCAGGAAGGAAGATTGACTCCATTTGGTTGTAGCGGAGCTCATATGCAGGTTGGTGGGCTGCTATAAGCACCTGAACAGAAAAAAGAATGTTGAATTAATAAATTGATGTCCTTACTTCCTTTTATAGCTTTCCTTGCTTCTGTTTCTACCTGACTTTATAAAATGATCATTTTACAATCTAATTTCTTACTGATATTTACATTTTGTCACAGGTTCATGTATTAATCATATTTAGTGATAATTTTTTACCTCTAACTTTTATGTCACGAAACTGAACTAAAGGAACAACATATACATTTTGTAAGTACATACTGCATATGCCTTTATAAATTTTAAAATCTACATATGTTTATAGATAGACTGTGAGGCAGACAAACTGAAAGATAAAGCTGTAAACAACTCAAATGGTTACAAAAGTATGAAATGTCTACTTCATAAACAGCAGGTTTTCACTTACTTGACGTGCTCGTAGTGCAACACGAGAATGCTTTGAGCTGTTGAGCTTGGTCAGCTGCTCCAAAATGGCTGACAAATCATCTGTGATCCCTGGCTCATGACCACACAGATGCTCAATCAGAAGAATGACCATCTGAAGTATACATATAAGGATTAACAGTATGATCACAAACTGTTTTCATCATTTCCACATACTGGACAAACCAGGTTTCATAAATTGTCATTAACTCTATAACAATTCATATCAAACTGACCTGATTCTTCTTTGCTACTTGTGAGTGTGAGAATAGTGTAGAGAGGACACTGGCCATATCATCCTTGTTCTTGTCTCTCAGTCCATGGACACATTTGTCATATGAACCTTAAAGGGAAAATATTTCTCTAGATAAATGATAATTGACCAAATTAAAAGCAAAAAATTACAAAATGATAACCTTAATTCCTACACTCATGTCCACTCAATACCATAAAGCTTAAATACCTGTAGCAATCAAGGGCAAGTTTGAATAACATATAACTGAATACTTACCATGTTGGAACTGAGTTTCCACCTGCAAATAGGTCTTGAGCATTTCCTGAACTACCTGAGTCATGCGGCCGCGACTACCCTTCTTGTAGCGCTGGCAGAGCTGCACCAACCCTTGTGTTGTAACAAAGAACACATCACGGTCTTTCTTTTGGAGAGATGCTGCATGGCTGTTTAAGAAAATATAAGAAAAAAAAAGATAAATTGATAACCTAACAAAGGTAAAAGCATATGTCAAAACAGTACAATATACACAAATTCTAATCCTCTTCTGAAAAACTTGATATAAATTTCTAAAATATATAATTCTTAATTTACTGCTTCTTCATATTGGAGATATACCTGTCAATTGCACTGGCAATCTCCTGTGAGGGGAACTGTGCTAACATGGAGGTGACATTGCTACCATAAATCAACATGTATTTCCTAATCTTCTTTTCTACAGCTTGTGGTATTCTCCCAGAAATAGATGAAATGACCTCCTGCAAAGTAGAAAAAAATCATATTAATAACAATAATGTTGTAATATACAAAGCGCCTTAAAAGTAAAGGAATTATATTTTGAACATAAAGATATGGATTAACACATAATAAAAGGGCTAATGCAGATCTCCCTTTTCAAGTCTTTACCTGCAGCTCCAAGAGGGGTAAGTTGGGATCTCTTAAAACACACATCAGCTTTTGCACAGTTTCTTTCACCATTGATGTGAAGAATTCATCAGGGAGGCAGAATCCTAAAAGAATGAAAAAAAATTGACAAACAAATTAATAGTTTACTTTAAGAATTTCCAAAAATTCTGACATCTGTCAACATTTCTTATCTTATCAGTGATATTCCTTAACTTTAAAAAATCTTGTTCTAATATAAGCTACAAGAAAAACATAATACAAAGCGTAGCCACTGTTATCAAATCACCTGAACTACCAGCAGTATCAACACTCACCACTTAGAATATTATCAAGCACAGTTCTGCAGGTGTGGTAAATGTGGTTCAACTTTTCATCTTCTCTTGGCAGTGGAGTTTTGCTTGGAGGGAAGCCTCCTGTGAAGGCCTGGGCCCTGGTGATGCGGGAGGAATCATCAAGCTCCAGGCGAGCAATGGTGTCGCCAGCATTGAGAATTGCTCCAGGCCGTTTAAGGTGGAACACGCACCCTGACTCAGATACTGTCAGAGCCATGACCATCTTCATGCTCTGCAGGAAGTCCAAAACATCAGGTTTTATTACATCTTTAATTTTCACAGATGAATTTGTGGATAAACATAAGTTGCACAATTCAAAACAGAGAAATGCAATATTAGGATATGAAGATCATCCTACCTCAATCTCTGCATATGCCTGCCCAACAAACATATGACTGCCATCCTCCTGCAGGTAGTTTATAAGTTTACCAGGAGCTGAGGTTCTTAAAACAGTTGGATCATTTTCCTTATCAAAAACACACGTCTGGTGTCCAATGGTGAGACGGTACCTGAACATTGGCAAATATCACAGTTAGAGGAATAGCATATGTAATCATGAACACATTAATTACAAGTTATTAGATGAATATTCAAGTTTTTTTTTTTCTCAACGTCATAACAAAGACCTTCTGACATTTCCTTTTGTTATACTTACTTGTCAACTTCATCCTTGAGATAAGTAACTTGACTAACCCCATCAAGTGACAAGAGGAGGCCACCATCACTCATACGGAAGAAATCAACTACTTTGTGGGTTCCATTGAGCACTAGGAAGTACTGTGTTGGACCAGATTTTGTGGCTTTTACATGATACTTGGTACCTTCAGAGATCAAATCAACCTCAACAACATTGGTCAGGGACTTCAGGGGCAAGACCTGACCTCTGTGAAAAGAAAAACAGCATTACTTTTACAATATTACACAACAATTCAGTCTCACCAAAGTATGATCAACCATTTGACTTCTAGACCTATTATCTAAAGTGTTTTCTTTTCACAATATTTAACTATACAAAAAGTAAATATAGTCCTTCACCAAGATCAACCTTAATCACACAACAGGTAAATAAAAATGAAACTAAATTACACAGAAATTTAAAATCTAAAAAATAGTCCTTTTCCTACCCATATCTAGAAACACTGCATATAGCCTTATCATAAGATACCAACATCATAAAACATAAAAAAAACACAAGTGAACCAAAGAATACCCACTTTTCTAAGGAATTCTGGAAGTGGTTGAAGGCATCCTGGATGGTGTTGTCTGCAATAAGTACAGAAGCACACATAACTGCCATCATGGTGTCAGGCTTCTTGCCCTGTACTCTGGCAGCAATTAGGTGGTCAAGCCAGCCAGTATCTGTAAAGGGATTTGTTGCTTAGATACATTATCTCTACTTCCATATGCAGAAGAAAGTAACTTTAACCTCCCATGCCCACTGGCATCAGATACATGCACCGTCACCAAGAAATCAATTATAAAGCCTACTGATCTCTTTTACACTGCATTCCTTAAAAAAAAAAGATAATAGAATTTTTAAAGAATAAAATAAATAAATAAATAAATAAATAATAACAATAATAATAATTATAATATGTTATGAACTATATTACTACTATTATCAACATCATCATTAAACAATAACAACAGCAAGAATAATAATATCAATAATAAAGGAATAATAATGAAAAATAGCAATAATTCGGGCACGCATAAGTATATGTATATGTATATGTATATTTATGTATTTATATAAAGATAGAAAGACAGATATTGATAGAAAGATAGATAGAGATAGGCAGATAGATATATAGATGTGTAAATACATAGATACATATACCAATGTATATGTATATGTATTTGCATATGTATGTATGTATAATATATATAAATACTGTGTGTGTATATATATATGTGGGGGGGATTAGTGGGGGGTGGGGATGGATGGATGGATGGATGGATGGATATTTGTATGTTTGTGAATTTCTATGTATGTAATAATAATCATAAAAATAAACATCTTTCTTCCTGAAAATTCAAGGAATGCAGTAAATGAGAGAGCTCTATTAGGCCTAGTGTCTGAAACCTTGGCAACCAAAGCTACCTGTATAAATAAGATCAACAAAGCCAAACCACTGAGGACACCAGACATTTACAAGCACTCCCAGCCTCACTGAGTGTCAATTTTCATTAAGAAAATAAAGGCACTGGTCTTTCATGCCTTAAAATAATTATTCCCTTATTTACATTCTGAGTTGATCAATTTGAAGATAAACTCACCAATGGAGTTCTGTTGGAATGTATCTGTCTCGAGAAGAGTCACAAGGTATTCTACAGTTGTCCTGAAGTCTCCTCGGATAGACAACTCCTTCAGTGCTATGACCAGATTCCTAAGGAAGAAAAATGGCAATCCTTTTTACATTGGTGTTCTAAAATAACATGTCCTTTACCAAAAATTGGTATGGCTTGGAGATATGAAAAATAAATACAAATAGAAAATAATCATTATTTGAGCAAATAAATAAGAAATTACAATAAAAATACAGTAATACTAATCATAATAATATAAATAATAAAAAGGCACAGAATATATCACAAATACCAGTGAGAACAATAAGCAGTTTTAATATTAATAAAAAATTTATACACCGATCAACAAATAGTTCATACTCACTCTCTTGCAGCTTCTCTGTTCTCTCCCCATGAGAAACAATGACCAAACTGTGAATCAGCATATTCATGGAGACCACCTGATGCTGAAACGCTGAAGTAACCCCAGACGTTCTTGCTTGACCTGAAGTTCAGTTCCTGTACTGTTCCTGAGCTTGGCTTGAACCCTAAAAACCAAATTGAAAAGTTGAATGCTAGTTATGTAGCTAGTAATCAAAATGTTTTTTTTAAGGTATGCAATTAAATAAAAAAATAAAAAATCACCAAAACATCATATACTGGTGAACAACCTCTCTCAACACAAGTGATCCAACACATACCTTCATCTGGGTTTTCACTTGTAATACGAGCAGCAATACAGTGGCCTTTTGGTACAGGTTTCCTCTTGGGCTCATCAAAGTTTATAATTGAATCACCCCACGGAGACTCTCCATAGAGTGCTCTTACACATCTTATTCTATGCAAAGGAATACCCATTGCAATCTGTAACAGGTATAAAAAACAATAATAATAATTGTAAAGGGATGTACAGTAATAATGAATAATAGATCTGGTTTTCCTAAAAGTTTCTATTTTCATTACTGTCTCCTTCAATATTACCATACCTGTAACTGGGCAGCTGGAAGGTTGATATCTGTGATCATCTCTGTGCATGGGTGCTCCACCTGCAGTCTGGGATTAAGTTCCAAGAAGTAGAAGTTCCCATCATTGTCATACAGGTATTCTACAGTGCCAGCATTAACATAACCTACCAATTTTGCTAGTTTTACAGCAGCCTGGAAAGAGTAACAGATTATGAGTGATACATTAACTTTTAAAAATCTTAAATTCTGAAATAGTTCATTGTAATCCTTTGCACATCAAGGCATCACTTATTTTGCTTTCTATATATTCATGTAATTCAGACAGAAAGTATTCAATTAGCCACAGATCCTAAAAATATGGTTGGTTCAGCTGCCGCTAGTTCAAAAAGTTAAGGCATACTGGGCAAGCTTTAACTTATATGATGAAAATTACAGCAATTCATTGGAAAATGTACTTTTCAGAAACAAGTATACACAATCTGCCCATGTAAAAAAATCTACTGAAAGACAATGCAATAAACCAAAAATGACTAATATCATTCAGGTTTCTCATCTATCTATATTAAACATACATGAAGAAAATTTGTTACATGACAAATTTAATCTAAAAAAAAATTCTTACACTGAAGAATCTCTTGTGCTTTACTAAACATGAGAGTACCACATACCTGCTCCATCTTATAAAACACATCAGGATTGGCAATGACACAAGGAGCTTCCTCAATAATCTTCTGGTGACGCCTCTGGACCGAACAGTCTCGGCCAAAGAGGGAGATAGCATGACCATAGACATCTGCAATAATCTGTACTTCCAAATGGCGAGCACACTGCGCCAGCTTCATAATGAATATAGGGGAACCAGGAACCTCAGCTTGCACCTGAAAAATGATGGAGAATTAACTTCTGTCATTTTTCTTATGAGTATTAACTACAGCTATACTACTAAAGAATAAAATCATGAAATTAATAAAAATGGTCTAAACAAACAATAAATAATCAGGTATAGCATACTCTGTACAAGATAAAAAGAAAAGGAAAAAGAAAAAGATTGGAAGATTTTTTTTTTTTTTTTATATATATAAATACAAAAAGCAAGGTAAAATCCAAGAAACTGGTGCATGTACATGCCTGTGTGTGAAACAGACCACAGTAACTTTCTGGAATGACTGATCACTTTCAATCTCCAATTCAGCAGAATACCACATGCACACTCAAATGGTACCTACCTGTCTGAACAATGCTGGAAAGTTGTCTTCAGACTCTGCCTTGCGAATGCCCTTTCCTCCCCCTCCTTCAGAAGCTTTGATCATGACCGGGAAGCCAATCTTCTGGGCCGCCTTGAGAGCTTCCTCTGCATCCTCCACGCATCCCTTCTGGTACAGCTCTCGTGGGATCTTCAGAGTTGCATTCGAGTCTAAGCCATTGTGCTGGGCTTTGACACCTGAAAACAAGAAAACATTGACAATACATATAACAAAGGGAAAATAAAAATAATGCAACATTACTGTATTAAGCACAAATTCTCTCAATCTATCTATCTATAGTGTACAAAATTTAAGAATATTAGTGTAGAAAAAAATTACCTGAGCCAGACCAAGGCAAGGTTGGGATTTCTGCTGTCTGGGCAACAATGCTTGACGCAATTTTGTCTCCCAGAGCCCACATAGCTTTTTCTGGGGGTCCTATGAAGGCAATGCCATGTCTGTGCAGCTTTGCTGAAAGGAAAAAAAAAAACTCCTTATCCACTTCTTTTCAGGTACCTGGGAGGGAAGGAAGGAGGGAAGGAGGGAAGGAGGGAAGGAGGGAGGGAGGGAGGGAGGGAGGGGGAGGGGGAGAGAGGGGGAGGGGGAGAGAGGGGAGGGGGAGAGAGAGGGAGAGGGGGAGGGAGAGGGAGAGGGAGGGAGAGAGAGGGAGGGGGAGAGAGGTGGGAGAGAGGGGGGGAGAGAGAGAGAGAGAGAGAGAGAGAGAGAGAGAGAGAGAGAGAGAGAGAGAGAGAGAGAGAGAGAGAGAGAGAGAGAGGAGAGAGGGAGAGAGGGAGAGAGGGAGAGAGGGAGAGAGGGAGAGAGGGAGAGGAGGGAGGGAGGGAGGGAGGGAGGGAGGGAGGGAGGGAGGGAGGGAGGGAGAGTGGGAGAGTGGGAGAGTGGGAGAGAGGGAGAGAGGGAGAGAGGGAGGGAGGGAGGGAGGGAGGGAGGGAGGGAGGGAGGGAGGGAGGGAGAGTGGGAGAGTGGGAGAGTGGGAGAGTGGGAGAGAGGGAGAGAGGGAGAGAGGGAGAGAGGGAGAGAGGGAGGGAGGGAGGGAGGGAGGGAGGGAGAGAGGGAGAGTGGGAGAGTGGGAGAGTGGGAGAGTGGGAGAGTGGGAGAGTGGGAGAGTGGGAGAGTGGGAGAGTGGGAGAGTGGGAGAGTGGGAGAGTGGGAGAAAGAGGGAAAGAGGGAAAGAGGGAAAGAGAGAAAGAGAGAAAGAGGGAAAGAGGGAGGAGGAAGAGGAAGATAAAGAAAGAGGGGATAAGAGAAGAAAGGGAAGGGGAGAGGGGTGGGAAGTGAGAGAAAAGGGAGAGGAAGTAAAGCAGATAAAAGTAGTAGGCCTTGTGCGCCTAAAGCATTTCTTACGTAGCCTTGTCCTAATGTCCTTGTATTTAAACAATTCATAAGAGTGTCGGAGCTAACCCAGAAAAAAAAAAAAAATGCAACAGCAAAATTTCTGATCATTTCTTTTTCTTCTTCTATCATTTTTATAACAATAGCTATGTCATGTGGTAATTTTTTTTTTTTTTTTTTTTTTTTTTTTTTTTTTTACACTCAGTACCCTGAAAAGAAAATCTGAGTTTTCTAAAATCCAAAACTTCAAAAAAAGAACCTTGTCACACACTAACAAAAAGTAGTCTGCAGAGCAATAGACAAAAAAAATACAGACAGAAAAAGGCGGATCCAGCAACCCACCCCCCAGACCTATACAAAAACTTGCTCACATAGGGCAAAAATCTCTCTTTATAAAAAAAAAGGCACAACAAAAAACATGAGAAAACTTGTACTTATTTAGTGATACTTTGAGCTACCTGTCTTTACAAAACTGTTTGTAAAATCATAAAACATATAAAAAATACAACCAATAAAACTGTTAATAGTAAAGAACAATTATTAAAG